GGACGACCGATAAGTTTCGCATTACACAGGAATATACTGTATATATATAAGTGGATAGTCGCGGGGACTATTGCGCACATACGATTGCTCCGGAACGATCGGAGGAACGTCGACTGGCCGATCGCCGCCGCGTAAACGACTCCGCCGTATATATAACGCGTATTAGGTGTTTTTATTACTCGCTCGTGACAGCTTTACGACTCGATACTTTTTACAACTGCTGCTGGTGCTGCTTCCGTTGCGCAGGTCACTCGCGCGCCCGAACACGGTTTTACGCGTTTTATCCGAACCGCTGCGGAACGGTTAGGAGAAGAAAAAAAAAATAAATCGAATCCCGACTAAACCCGTATTGAAACGTCTCTATTAATTACGACGGTGACCCGACGGCCGGCATTCGAAATATACGTATGCAAATCGTCCGTGCACGACGCTTTCACGGCCGTAAAATATACGCGTACGTGTCGCAGAATATTATGTCAAACGTAACGGCTCACTACGGCTAAGGATGTTTCTTAGAAGGATACGCGGTTCGGTCAAAGTTCGGAACGGTTAATTTTTCGGAGTGACACGTTTCGCGCATCATCATGATTGAGATGTGCCCGAAAACGGGTTTTTTTTCTCTCCTCCGAGTGATGCGCTAAATATATTTTCTCTCTCTCCGTCCCCGTTGCACGTCCGTAATATCGTTATGCCATCGCTGCTTCAGCTGCTGCTACTAGTACAATGGCGCGCGCAATCGTATTTTGACGACCACTGTGTCTCGGTACCGCACGAGATTATTAATACGACGTGTACACACACGCTTACACAATAATAGTACGTCGACGACGCGCCGAGTGCCATTTCGAAGGAATAACCATAACGGCTCGCGCGCGTTAACGTACGGCACGTACTCGTAGCGCTCGTGGAAAAATTCAAATTCCGTTTGCACTCCATATAACATCTGCTTATTATTAGTTTCTACGCGCGACCCGTCTTCCGTTACCGAAGCCGTCGGTGGCCGAGCGAGTTTCGTAGTATATTTCATGTGCGCGCGCGCGAAAGGCAAAAAAAAAAAAATAAAAAAATATTAAAACAATTTGTTTCTCATGTCGAATTTTACGCTACGCTCTCCGCGCTCGACCGCAGCTTTACCGCCGATCAAACCGAACGTACAACGTGCGACGACGTTATAACGGCACCGGGTAATACATCGGGAGATTAACTGTTAAGGCTCCGGGCAACAACAGTATCGTACAACTCGATTTCGGTGCGTTTTAATTGGAAAATTTATAAGCCCGTGCAACAAACGGCGAGTTATAAATGCGTTTTTAATTGAAATCCAAAAGAAAAATTTAAAAAACACGCGTTTCACGTTAAGATTATAATTACGTATCTTATTCGTATCGCGGGTTAATTAAAATGTTATTTAATCTGTGCGCGCATACGGCTGTCCGGTAAGCAGAGCGGATTCGACCGTCGTAATTATATTACGGTTTGCTGTTCACGCGCGGAATATGTAAATTCGGTGTCTCGAAGTGCACCTCGCCGCCTATGTATTTACATACGAGTATACAAATTATCGCCCCGATTCACTCGCACGCACGCGCACAAACAATTGTTTTAGAAAGCTCCGAATTAATAGGTATACATCGTCGATGGTCGCACGACGTATTTTTTTTTTCTTTTTCGGAGCGCGAGGGATTATTTAAAATAACCTCGTTTTTTGTCCATTCAAAGCGCATCGTCGTCGCGAACAACGAAATACATGCCCGCGTTCTGTAAATGCGTGTACGCTAAACGGTGACGTTACGGGTAGGCACACCGTGTGCACCACGTTATGTAGGGCGTACGCGCTCAGGGTCGCGGACATGCGTTGTTCGGATATTGCTAGTGAAAGGACGAAGAAGAGTCGATTTCATCGGCTCCCCCGTGAGGTCGTGCACCTATTACGGGTACATGTACGGTATAGGTCACGCGTAAACGATCCCCTACGCAGTTTACGAAATTCGAAATTTATGGCCGCCCGTCCGACCGTCGTCTTTGTCGGCGGCGGTGACGATGACGACGTTTTACACGGTGTATACCAACGTGTACGTTGGTTATTATTTTACCGGATCGAGTTTTACACTCTCGTCGAGGACGTACCGTTGTTATAATTGCTGTTAATCGCCGCGGAACCGTACTGAAAAATAAATATCATATTCATATGTACATGTCTAGCCGTTGAAGTGTAACGTTTCGGCAGTTGTCGAGTGATACTCGTTGACCCGAGGATCGACGGACGGCGTTTTTACCCGTAATATACATAAACCAAGGCTACAATAAACCTTTGAAGACAAAAAAAAAAATTAAAAGAAAAAAAAAAAATCAATCATAATATCGAGAAAGAAACGTTAGCAAAACTCTCGATCAAAATTATTTTTGTTAAATTCAATTTCATCCGAAAATCCGATAAAATAATAGCTGTGCACAAATTGATCGTAAACGCCTAGCATTAGTTCTATCAACGGCGCTCGCTATGATTTCAAACACTTTTCGCCAATTACCGGTGTTTGTTGCGCTCTTTTCGGTAACGGTCGACATTCTACTGTTTGCGACAACTTACGCCCGGTCGAGAGTACGAACTAGTTAAGCGCGTATTTTTTGTCCCTTAATTTTTTTCCCATCACTATTCCGGTCTGTACGGTTAGTACCCTGTTCGTTTAAATATTGCTTACCGGCGAATCGCGCCGGCGATGGTTCGAACCGTTACGGCTGTCGCACCGCGATAAACGCACGCGGGGAGGGAAGGGGGAATAATGGTAACCGTTGTTTTACGTGTTTAGCAATCCGCGTACTTCGTTGTGAAACGCCCTGTGCTCACCCAGTACGTAATACAATACTAATGACGTTCTCACGTGTTTTGTGTGCCCTCCGCGCAGGTTCGTTGTCGAGCATCGGCATGGGCGTGGGATCGAATCCGCTGGAGTGGACGGGCCAGGTGACCGTGCGGAAGAAGAGGAAACCGTACTCCAAGTTCCAGACGCTGGAGCTGGAGAAGGAGTTCCTGTTCAACGCGTACGTGTCCAAGCAGAAACGATGGGAGCTGGCCCGAAACCTAGCGCTGTCCGAGCGCCAGGTGAAAATATGGTTCCAGAACAGGCGCATGAAGAACAAGAAGAACAGCCAGCGGCAGGCCGTGCAACAGCAGCAGCAGCAACAGCAGCAGCAGCAGCAACAGCACACCGCCAACAACAACAACAACAACAACAACAACAACAGTAACGGGAGCGCGAACGCCAACCATCAGCATCACATGCAGGTGATCGGCGGCCACCACGGCAACGGGCCAATCAAACACCATCAGTGACCGTCGTTTTACTCTGGAGCCACCGCGGTCGCTCACCCGCCGTTGCACCATCTACACCATCAAATACACGCGCCTCCGCCGCCGCCGCATCACCTTCACCAACACTATCCGATGCAGCAATCCGTTTGAAAAAGACAGGTACTCGGAATCTCCCCCTCCCCCCCCACCGGTCGTTCGCGTGATTTTTCCGTGCGCGAGTTTGTGATAAACGTCAACGTATGATAAGTGCGTGTACTTGATCACGACCCTAAGCCTAAAAACGTAACTTTGATGAAAAAAAAAATTGTCATTTCCACCGTTATCGACAACGTTTAGTCTTCGTTGCTTCCGCGTGCAATATTCGCGTTCACGCACTTCATTAGAGATGGTAAAGAGAGAGAGAGAGAGAAAGAGAGAGAGAGAGAGAGTGAAAAGCGGTTTACGTTCGATCGTTACGTTTTCGGGTGTTCGGTTCTATAAAATTCGGGTTTAATACATTTTTTTTTCTTTTTCACGAACACCGAACGAAGTTCACGAACTCAACGCGCGACGCATTCCGAAACGGCGGAAAAATAAAACGTGCGGCCATGGTACGTATTATATTTGTAATACGTTAATCCGGTGCGCGCATAATTGATCGGCTCCAGAGTGGCAAAGTTATAGGTCACAATTTGTACATATAGGAAATACGATTTAAGTTACTGTACATGTTAACACGTACACACACACACACATACTTATATATACTATTAGATTAACTTATACATACTGTGTTTTTACTATATATAATGGAACGTGTATATGACGCAATATAAAATGATGTAGAATATAATAATACAATATGTGTAAAGTTCCCGGGTCGGACGCGTTCGGGTTCACAAAAACATATTATTTTGTACAGCTATTGTATAGGTATGTTTATTGAATACGAGTTTTTTTTTTTTCTACTTAGCCTCTAACTTAAACAATAATATTTACGATAATAATAATAATATAATAAGTGTACGATTAGTCGTTTCGTAAAATATAACCAGTGGATTTTTTTTTTTTAGATAAAAAACTATCGATCTCCGTCTTTAAGCGAGTTTTAGCGTTTTCTTTTTTGATATTAACTATGAACTGTAAATATTATTATTATTATTATTATTATTATTATTATTAAATAATAATTATCTATCGTATGAATATTACATAATATTACCCCTGATTGAAATAGTAGTTGTAGAGTGGGTTTCTTCGTCGTCCCTATATCTCGTTTACATAAATTAATATACTATACAATTATAATAATATAAGCAACAAATACAAAAACGATTTATAACGCGCTGCTTTGAAATTCGATTGTTTTATTTTTTTATTTCGTTTATACGCTACGGCATTTTTTATTGCAAATCGCAGTATTATTAATTATCTATATACACGAGTATATACATTTATTATTTTCGTTGTAAATAATCTGTCTATGACTTACGTTGTATTCTACGGATTTGTACGAAATGTATCTGGTATATACGTATAGATATAAGTTACGTGTATTATAAATATGTAAGTTTTGACATTTTTTGTTTTTTTTTTTCTACGTTATTTTGTGTTCTGGTTATGTATGACTATTTTTGTTGTATTAATTCATTATCATTATTATTATTGTAATATTTTTTTTTTTTTTTGTTTGGTTCAACTTTAGCGTTTAGACTATATTTATTGGTGCCAAAATGTATTTTACTTTTTGTATAAACTCCCTATCCCCCTTCCCCCATAACAGCTTTAACCGTCAATGAGAACGTTTATGAAATATATTTATTGTATCTTTATTATTTATCCGTAGGCATATTCATGTAAAAACAAAATATGCGTCGAAACAATTTTCAATAATAATTGTAGATTTTTGAAAAATTAAAACATTACGTACTTTTTTTTAAATATATATATATATATATATATATATTATATATTTAATAATTATAGATTATGGGAATAAAACGAAACAAAACCATAAATTTATCGTGTTCAACGAACGATTTTATAGCGATCAAAGTTTCGTTATAAAACGTAATAACCGATACCGGTGTTTTACCGCATAGAGTGAATACGTGGTACGTTTGGAACAGAAAAAATATGCACTATTACATCACGAGTATATCATCTATTCTGATCATTGTTCGTACGGGTAAACGCGGATATTTCACGTACGATAATACAGCGTGACTATATGTACATATATTTGATAATTTTTTTTTTTCTACAATATTATACAATATAAAGTGTAAGTTAGTGTAATTTTTTTTTCTAAACAGTAGACTATTTATATACAATAATATTATTATTATTATCATTATTATAATTACGTGTAAATTGAATTCCGTTTCGAAAAACTATACGCACATAAAGGTATATATTATTATGTATGTATCAATGTGTACGTAAAAATAATATTGTTTACCATTTATCTGTCCTAAATCTATTTAATCCGATTTGTTATGTTAGTATTTTGAAATGAAAAAAAAAAAAAAAAAAAACAAGATACAAAAAGTCAGTGTAAACTTACGGTGTTGTTATTAGTGTGCGTGACATTACGTTCGACGGCACTCAATGTTTCAACCCGAGAAAGATGGTTGAAGTGAAGTCACCATCGAAACTCATTGGTAAACGTTTTGCGCGACAGAAAATCTCTCTGCGAAACAGAATCATCGGATTTCACTTGAAACCAGACGCGTGCGTCCGTGAAAATCTAACGAGGCTCGTCACCGATATCGTAAGTATACGGGGTTCAATCCCACTTGCCCGGAATCGATTACGCCGCGTGTTCAACGGACAAAAACGATTAGTTTTCGACTTTCGCCCGGGACGATTTCTTACCCGTAAATAATTATTCTTTCGGCGTGCACATCTTATTCTTATTATTATTATTATTTTTTTTTAAATTTAACTTGATTCCTTCGTACGACCGTTACGACGCGTTACGCAGCGGTGCCGATCCCTGCGGTGTACGTGTCGCGGATGTAATACCCTGTTTAGACGGGCGATTCCGCGGTGGACAGGTACGCGATTTCGATTGCGGACGCAATGCTGTTTCGAAATCGCAGTTGTTAACTTTATACGGTTGTCTTGTCAGCCGAATCACATTTTGTTTTCATGCAACACGCATGGGCGTCCCGAACCCTCGGCGGTACACGGGGCCTTACGTTTGCCGAATCAAAACCGCAGGGCTTGATTATCAAGCACACGGGGTGTTATTGACAGTGGCGTGTTTGAAACGCGGTACACGATTGACCGCAGCCAATGCTCGTGCGGCATCCCAATGAAATGTCTTGGTAGCTCTAGGCGCGACAACTCGTCAGACGGTTAACAAACGCCGTCAGTCATTGCCACCCACTCGTCCATCGCCTCCCAGTTCACAATGTTGAAATACGATCCGGACCTTCTGACACGTCGTTTACAACGTTTTAACGGGAAAACAAACGGAACGATTGCCAACGGAGTTAATAACCCGTGAAACGAAATGTTAAACACGATTTAAGGTATAAACGATGGACAACGAACGTACTTGTAACGTGAACAAATAATCACTACAACAACGTCGTCTCCTAGAGCGCCTGCGATCTCTAGTGTTCTCATCGTATATCGAAACCGAATCGATTGCGAACAATAGATTTCGTTTTGTCCGCAGCACGGGGAGACGAGTCGAAAAATTAGAGACACGTTTAAAAATCTAAATAACAATGTCGAATGAGGAAATGGAAAAACTTTTAAAAGTATGCAATGCGCCGGGACACATCCTTCCGAGAGCGAAAAAAAAATAAAATACGACAGTTTTATTTATAAATCGAGCGTCTGTAAGACTGCGATTTACATGCGAACCGCGGCGTCATCTCCGTACACGTACTGTTGGCATAAGGGGGCGTTCTTGAGCTTACGAAAAACAAAAAAAAAAAAAAACAAACGTTGAACGCTCCCCGTACATTTTCATCGGCCTCTGGACGTCAAACCTCGCGGCACTGCTCAACCCGCAATGAACCGGTTCGATCCGGAACATCCGGCCGAGGCGATTGCGGGGTCCTCCGACCCGGTAAATTTGAATGCTGGCCGCGGTCGACGATCGCGTGCAGCAGTACGACAACCGTGTACACCAGGGGTGGCCAACCCAGATATGATGTTGCGGGCCACTTTGGAAATACATTGCGAGTCCGCGGGCCACGTATAAAATTATATTTGTGTTTTGCTGCAATGCAAAAAAAATTTGGAGTAAACATTTTAAACTGGATGAATTATTATTAAAAAATAAGTGTTGGCGTATTAATTATTTGAAATAAACATAATGAATAATCATTGTCTTTATAACCGTATTCCGAATCTGATTCTTTCAAGAACTCTTCAAATTGTCGATGCGGAAGCGCATGCTATCGAACGTGATTCACTGTTTTTTACGACTACTAGAATAACATGGTTCATTGACAAATACTTGGGAACAAAGATTTTGTCGCCGAACAGTTTGTTAATAATACGGGTTCCGTGTTATGCGGGCATTCCAGAATATTTTATTGGTACGAAAATACATTTTTTTTTTTTCTTGAACGCTCGATAATCTCGCGGGCCGCAAACATTCCAAGGCGGCCCGCGTGTCGGCCATCAAAAGAAAAGAAAAAAAAAACCGACTTTTAAAACAATAATGTTAACGATACGAACGTTGTGCGCGCGGTAGGTACGTGCGAGCATTGTACGGTAAGACTCCGTAACGTATAGTATTGTAATCCAACAGCTCCGTGTGATATTGGCAAACAGCGGTCGTGAGATTGTTTGGCGCGCGTGCGACCGGACCTTGAACGGATACGAACGTCCTGTGTTACCCGTTTCACACTTTCGCACTTTGCCTCTCTCTCACACATTTGCTGCCCGTTTTGCGCAGCTCTCCCACAGCTCGTGTGCTACGTGCGTTGACTATATACCAATTGTACAACGGAATCCGATGGCCGAAACAATGAAAACCGCAAAGCGCAAAACCGTTGAACGTCTTCCGACGGACCGGCTGGCCACGCGATCGTCCGACACGGCTCGGACTATCTCTTTTTCTCGGACGGCGGAGTCCTAAAGGACGTGTTAAAACACGTCACGGAAAATCCACGTGAACCCGGTACGTCGATTTTAAACCACAGCACGGTTTTATAATTTTTTTTTTTTTTGATTGGTTCCGTTGCGGTCCGCGCGACGTGTAAACACAAAATAAATAAAAACATAAACAACGTTTTGTTGTTGAGAACACTTTTAAGCAGTTCGACGACTCGTACGTCTTCGCGCGGAAGACGGTTTAATGCGAAACAATAATAATCGCGCGTAAGAAAAACGCTATCGAGAAATAAAATAAAAATAGTTCGAATAACTAATATCAATCATATCTATATAACCGGAAAAACTTTTTTATTTACGTAGAAGTGACTTCAACAGAAGGTTTTTCTGATCGCCACAAGCAATCCACCTCTGAACAACTATACATACTCACATTTGTTAATCGAAAAAGCATTTTTTTCTTTATAGATCATGTGTTTAAAAACAAACGTTAAAAAAAAGCCTATGTTACACGGGTTTGATAAACGCATAAATAGTCTTTGTAAAATGTAAGTATACCAATGATCGACTATTTATTCCCATTGTAGGCATACCGTCTTATACATAGATACATATATAACTATATAGACCGCATGATCATTTTGTAGACCAATTGTTGCGTTTTAGGATCAAATTATCATTAATATTAAGGTGTAATATTTTTTTTCGAATAACTTAAATATTTATTTATTTTTTAATTCATAACATCGCGACACTTATTCTACTGTGCATTAATGTTTAGTCGGAAAAATTAGATATCCATCGACGGATACAATCCGAAAGATGAGTAAATTAATTTTCGGCTTCGGATAAAAATTATTTAAAAATTATTTTCACCATTGAAATAAAAAAATGCTCTGCAAGAGCTAGAAGTAAATGATGCTGTATAAACAAAACGTAGTTTTTTTTATGAAATTTAGTCGTTTATCCTTACATCGATGTCTAGCGCTCTCTGTCCGCAATTGCCGACGAATGACGAGGACAACGACCGGCAACAGAGGATACCCGCAACGGCCAGCCGCGCAGGTGGGTCGTAATCAAATACTATTATTGTTATAGACTTATAAAATATACAACTATAGAGACATCGAGCGTCGGTACATCTCGATCTCGTTGCCTATATCTCGAACAGAATAATATATGTATAAACTTCTCTCGAAATCCTCGTTAGTAGGCAGACTATAGGGCAATGGGTCTAGAAAACCCATAGGTGTGTATGCACTCATGTGCGTTTAAAAACTTAAGAACGTGCGCAACAATAATTTGTTTTTGAAAAAATGTTTTTTTTGTACTTTTAATTGGACACAACTAATTGTTTAAAAAACATGACCAACAATGAATAAAAACGTTAGGAACTGTGTTCTACTACGGCAGCACCGGCACGACGAAGAGCACGTACATCAAAACGATAAATTATATCTGATCATCGTTTTGATAAATATTTCAAATACATCAACATTTTGGTATATGCGTTCAATAAGTATAAATAAATGTTTTAAAAAGCAAAAAAAAAATAAATTCGAAGATGCAATAATATACGAAGTTACGGGTTCGATTATTTCGTACAACGTTTAATGTTTGTCCACATTTAGCGTTTTTAGGGTCGAGCGAAACAAATAATTGTGCAGGCGTCCTACTCAGGCCCGTTCTGATCTATTTTGTATAAAAAAAAAATCGCTGCCTCCCTCCGCTCAAATTTCATATCTGAGCATTATTTTGTTAAACTTCAAAAACGTTATCAAAATCATTTTCAG